ATGACAGATAGGATGCATGAATCCTGTGTGGGATTCACAAACACACACACACACACACACACACACACACACACACACACTTCTAACCCCCTCAGGGACTTATTTGCCGGCTTACTTGCACCATTGGAATCGCAGTATCCTCGTAGATTATCACCTGTTCATGGGTGGCTCTTGTCACGCAACCGTTTTTGTCTATTTGCATCCACAGCCCAGGGTTCTGACACTGCAGTGCATTTAAAAACAAAAGCCAAGGCATGACAAAACAAAGTGAAACAACTTGTAACAACATCTGCTCGCACGCTGGGCTGTTGTTTGTATAACAACATGGTACATCCTGGCAGGCGTTAAGCTAATAAACAGTGCACGCCAACTGAAGGAGCTTGAAAACAAGAGCCTGAGAAATTGATAGCGAACTTAAATGTGATCTCTGTTTCTTCACTGCAATGCCAGCTGTGAAAAACACACTGCGTAATAAAGGAGGTCGATTGTGTAACAGATTTCAACCAGATCAGGGACATTTTTAGGCAAACGTGGGCACACATACATTGAAAAGACTGTAAACTGGAGGGGAACTATAACGGTTGCTAGGGAACACCATAAGACCAGACAATCCAATTCTGTTTGAGAAGGAGGAGGAGGACGAGGAGAGACGGACAGCTCCTGCCACAACAAGCAAATAATAGTGCAGTGGTGTGAACTATATATACATATTTCCCACTCCTTCATGTACGCACAGCTTGGCAGACTTTACCTCGGCACTTTGGCCTTTTACGCTCAGAGAAACTGCCAACAGGATGAGCATCGCCGAGTGTTCATCTCACGTTCACCTCATTTGTCTGCACTCGTCAAAGAGTCCGTCTCCCCGCAGCTGGACAGGAGACTTCAGTAAGTTTGACAGTGGAATTTCTCAGCAACATCACACGTCTATATTTAAAGTTTTTGGATCATCAGAGGTGTGTGGTAAAGTCATAAATCTCACCTAAAAATTCAGTCTGTTTACTCGAGTCACTCCCTCCATGTTGTATGAAGTCATTCAGATAGTTTCAGCTTTACATGTTGAGATTTGCAAGTATTCATTTTAGAAGTATCGACCTTCTTTTTTACAAACTCTTACACAACAATACTTGGCTAGACGCGTGTTGGCGCTCCTGGATGCGCCGCCCCGCATCATTTTACGCCACTGTCCTATTTCCAGCCTTGCTGCCCCTGGAATTAAACGCATTTTCCCCCTGCTCATTTTCTGCTTGAACACACCAGCTCCTGTAGCAGCTCTTTTTCTCTGCTCCTTTGGCAGCTCGACTCCTCTCCTCACCATGGATGCATAAAGAGAACTCTGTAGCTGTTGCTGTGTCTTGTGTTTGACGAAGAATGGATGTGGAGGGACTCGTTAAGGTAAAAAAATATCCCGAGCTAAACGACCCACAGTTCCCTCATTATAGAGACAATGGCCAAAAAGATATTGCCTGGTGAGTCATGGGTCTGGAGAAAATCAGTGTATGTCTACACATGATTTTAAATTAATGCAGAGGTGGAGGAAATACAGATATTTCAGCAAAAGAAGTAATAACTTTGCATGGTCGTGTGTTGACTGGCTGCAGCACGACAGGTTTATACGACAACGATTTCAACCGAAAACAGTAAACTTAAGTTGCATTTTGGCTGATCGTCAACACGACAATGGCGTTTCGGGTGCCTGAAAATGCAGCGTTTTGAAAACGGGTTCGAGTGCAATTTTCTGGAAACAGCACTGTCTCTGTTGTCATGTAAACGTGCAATATGCAGTTCCTCTGAAAACGGAGACTTTTCCCACATGCGCATTACGCTTCCAGTCAGTAGGCATGCACGAGAAAGTCGACCATCACAACAATGGCGGACTCCCGAGCTCTGTTTGTGCTGCTCACCCTGTTGAATTTATCAACGCTTCTTCAGCAAAGTGTAGATTTACTGTGGCAACTCCACCTCGTCAACTGTCCAGACAAACGTTCGTGCAGTTGCCATTTTGTTTGTTTATACATCACCGCTCTGGCGCGTGTTGTTTCATTACAAAGATGCACCACCAATTACTGGCCTGGCATGTACAGTACAGGCCAAAAGTTTGGACACACCTTCTCATTCAATGCATTTTCTTTATTTTCATGACTATTTACATTGTAGATTCTCACTGAAGGCATCAAAACTATGAATGAACACATGTGGAGTTATGTACTTAACAAAAAAAGGTGAAATAACTGAAAACATGTTTTATATTCTAGTTTCTTCAAAATAGCCACCCTTTGCTCTGATTACTGCTTTGCACACTCTTGGCATTCTCTCCATGAGCTTCAAGAGGTAGTCACCTGAAATGGTTTCCAACAGTCTTGAAGGAGTTCCCAGAGGTGTTTAGCACTTGTTGGCCCCTTTGCCTTCACTCTGCGGTCCAGCTCACCCCAAACCATCTCGATTGGGTTCAGGTCTGGTGACTGTGGAGGCCAGGTCATCTGCCGCAGCACTCCATCACTCTCCTTCTTGGTCAAATAGCCCTTACACAGCCTGGAGGTGTGTTTGGGGTCATTGTCCTGTTGAAAAATAAATGATCGTCCAACTAAAGGCAAACCGGATGGGATGGCATGTCGCTGCAGGATGCTGTGGTAGCCATGCTGGTTCAGTGTGCCTTCAATTTTGAATAAATCCCCAACAGTGTCACCAGCAAAACACCCCCACACCATCACACCTCCTCCTCCATGCTTCACAGTGGGAACCAGGCATGTGGAATCCATCCGTTCACCTTTTCTGCATCTCACAAAGACACGGCGGTTGGAACCAAAGATCTCAAATTTGGACTCATCAGACCAAAGCACAGATTTCCACTGGTCTAATGTCCATTCCTTGTGTTTCTTGGCCCAAACAAATCTCTTCTGCTTGTTGCCTCTCCTTAGCAGTGGTTTCCTAGCAGCTATTTGACCATGAAGGCCTGATTTGCGCAGTCTCCTCTTAACAGTTGTTCTAGAGATGGGTCTGCTGCTAGAACTCTGTGTGGCATTCATCTGGTCTCTGATCTGAGCTGCTGTTAACTTGCGATTTCTGAGGCTGGTGACTCGGATGAACTTATCCTCAGAAGCAGGGGTGACTCTTGGTCTTCCTTTCCTGGGTCGGTCCTCATGTGTGCCAGTTTCGTTGTAGCGCTTGATGGTTTTTGCGACTCCACTTGGGGACACATTTAAAGTTTTTGCAATTTTCCGGACTGACTGACCTTCATTTCTTAAAGTAATGATGGCCACTCTTTTTTCTTTAGTTAGCTGATTGGTTCTTGCCATAATATGAATTTTAACAGTTGTCCAATAGGGCTGTCGGCTGTGTATTAACCTGACTTCTGCACAACACAACTGATGGTCCCAACCCCATTGATAAAGCTAGAAATTCCACTAATTAACCCTGATAAGGCACACCTGTGAAGTGGAAAACCATTTCAGGTGACTACCTCTTGAAGCTCATGGAGAGAATGCCAAGAGTGTGCAAAGCAGTAATCAGAGCAAAGGGTGGCTATTTTGAAGAAACTAGAATATAAAACATGTTTTCAGTTATTTCACCTTTTTTTGTTAAGTACATAACTCCACATGTGTTCATTCATAGTTTTGATGCCTTCAGTGAGAATCTACAATGTAAATAGTCATGAAAATAAAGAAAACGCATTGAATAAGAAGGTGTGTCCAAACTTTTGGCCTGTACTGTATACTACAGCGTTTTGGTCATTTTTGCGGATCCGAGTGCACGGCAATTGTTATCAAAACGTTGTCATTTGAACACAGAACTTTTTTCAAAACGGAAATGAGAAACGATGGCACAGTATGCTAGGGGTGGCACAGTATGTTTTCAGCTTCAGGCACAGACAAGTAGTGCATCTGTGCTTGTTGTTAAACATGGCCCCCATTCAGTTTGATTCATTAAGAATTTTCTCAGTTTTTGGATTCTTCGGTCACCGTGGAGAATACAAAGTTTCCTTCACCAATTAAACGTAATGTGGGATGATTCACTTATGAACAAATATTAAGTTGGGGGGTGAAGTATTCCTTTTTAAGCACTGAGAAATACATTCTGTCATCCCTTTTTTCTCTGACACAGATGGTATTTTAAAACCTAAGTAAAACAGGAGGTGAGGTAAATATTGTGCTTTGTGATGTGAGTAAACCAACCTGTGTGCTCCAAGTCAAATTCAGAAAATGTATTTCCTTTCTCAGTCAGGACTTTGCCTACCAAGGCATCAGCAGCACCTGCTTTGCATCACCACACTGTTTGTTCCAAGTGCATCCATGCACCTAAACTGCAATGTATATCATTCCATTGCAGCCATTATACAAAGTCCTTAGTAAGAGTAAAGTAAGACTTCCATGCATCTATTTGTCTCTGAAACACATTTTCTGCCCCACCACCAGTTTTCAATGTGGATACTCTTGTCAGATTGCTCACCCCTGGCTGTTTACCCAATAAAAAGACCCTTCTAGAGCAAGGCAAAGTGCAGGCAACACTGCCATAAATCAGAAATGATGTTTGGGTGAAGCTCAAGCTGACACTGAAAAAAAAGGGCATGAATCTCTCAGTCAGTCCAGTTATAACTGTGACAGTTTGAAACCTGGAGTGAGGCATCAGTCAAGACATATCTCTCTATATCTTTCTGACGTGTCATTGTGGCAGAGGTTTGTAGGTATGCCTCCTCATGGCGCATTGTTCATGTTGATTGGAGTAACAACAGTGTGACTGGGAGGAATGACGCCGTGGAATTTGAGCGGATTCTTCAATGGGAGTGAAACAATAAAGCAGAAAATCAATGTGTGCGATTGGGGGAATAAAGGCAATTCATCATAGGAGGACACTTAGCATTCCTTTGTGGCAACTCTATTGTGTGGGCTCTTTGTGTGATGTGCGTGTGTGTGTCAGCAGAATATAATGACATATATTTCCAACCTGCTAATTTTATGAGCAGAAAAAAATTAAAATCTTACAGAGGTCAAAAAAGAAGATCAAGGTTTGAAAATCCAAGTTTTATTATTTCATGACATTTGTTTCTTTCATTCAACCAGATATAAGGAATGCAGGTATCACGGCAATTAGGATTCTCACAATGTAAAAAGGGTGTCGAATTTATAAAGTGTGCCACAACGACAGCAGGGCTGAGGAATTCAAGCTTGAGCAAGGTTAAAGGCATGAGCTTCATACTGAATAATGGGCCACAATGGAGAACATGCTTTGTGCCATGAGGAAAACGGTAATCGCACATCATCATCAGTATCGAAACAGTTTTCAGTGTCCGTATGTGTCATTACAGCACCGTGAAATTCATAATCAGCAGCACATCTTATGTCATATTCCTAAATCCTAGCAAGAGCACTCAAACAATTCATAATTACTTCAAATATTATTTACATTTTCTTGGCTAAGAATCATATTTTACAAAGTGCATGAGGTCTTTTGTCTGTACAGTGTTAGAAATAGGCAGTCAAGTTGTTAGTTTCACTGTGCAACCATGTATTAATTACATCTTAATGTCTTCAAGTCACTGAAAATGCAAATGGACATCAGTCTTTTTAACAAAATAAAATACAGTTATATTAATATTAATTATTCATAATATGGTAATGGGTCAGTGCCATATTACTGCCTTTGTGCATTTCAAAACCAAAACCAGAATGTCACTTAAAGACGTCGTAAAATTCATACATTTATGAACTATGAACATTTCCTTGTATATTATTCTGTCGCCATGGAGAGTTGGGCCAGTGTAAACATTTTCAAACCGTTTTGAAATTAAGCCAAACACCAGACCGGTATACCGAATTTTTCCACAAGGTGTCGCAGTTGACGCGGTAGCCGCTCCAGAGCGGAACATGACGACACCATGTCCCAACAGCAAACAAGCGTCCGACTATTGTGTGACATCAGAGCTCTCTGTCCACGCTGAATCTATTAAATATGCAGTTCTGTTACGTCATGTAAACAAACACTGAGATCTAACCACTTAAAAGACAGGTGAGTAATTGCTATATTTCTACGTATATGTACTTTTTACACACAAACACGTTTTTTGTTTGTGATTTTTACTAGCTCCTCCCCTTCTTCAACATCCTCCTGAATATTACTATCTGACCTGTTTAAAGTAGCTATCTGAGGTATGAAATGATTCTGTGCGCCCTATTCCTTTGTCCTGTTGCGGCTGTGTCTCACCGCCACATTTCCTTCACTGATTCTTGGTCAAACGTCTCTAAAGGCTCTGACGGATGCGAGAAACACAGAAAATCGATCCTGTTCCGAAAATTTAATGACAGATGAGGGTGTCGGACTCAGTGCGCAAACTTCATTTACACAACGTATTTATTTTTAGATGTGCAACAATTTTAGACGGAAAAAAAAAAAAAACAGACTGTGTGCAAAAGCCTCAAATCTGCCATGTCTCCTCTTGTCACCCCAAAAAAGACACGAACTTTCTGGTAAACAAAGACAACATGAGCCACTCGCCCTCCTCCACCTCCCATCTCTGCTAAAATTTGATCTCCTCCATGTGCAGGGCCTGTCAGACACTAGCGGCTCCCTTACTCTGTTTATAAACAAACATATTATTATGTTAATAACGTCATACTGCGTATTACCGAAGCAACACAAGCTGGATTTAGCGTCGTGATGCCGTCAGCACAGGTTGCTGATGTAGGCTATTTTTTTAATTTGCCAGTATGTGTCATAATGACAAATACCAGATCAGTGTTTTTGCCCGCTGTCTCGTACTGTCTGTAGTAATTTAAAAATAAAACCGGTTTAAGCTTGTACACTGGACTGGACTGGCAAAACCAGACATGAACCCAACTCCGTCTCTATCATAGACACAATAAATTACATTACATTTCTAATTTCACGCTCTTATTTACAGTTCAGTATTGTCTTCTATAACGAATAATTATAGCTCTAAATTTCTCAAACAGTCCTTTTAATGTTGAGTAGATGATGATAAAAACTTGGGCAAATAATTTGGTGTTTTGTTCCACCGAGGTTCTTAGAAAATGTGTCCAGCTCGCCCCACTAATCTATCAGGTCTTGGGGGTTTTCTTACCTTAAAAACTCACTTGTGGTCACACTGTTCGGTGAGCCAATAACTACAGCTTGGAGGCAAAGGGGAGACCCTCGTACATGTCGGCCTTGAGCTTGGCCCACTCGGCCAGTCTCTGGATGGTGCTTTTCTCCTGGGCGAGCACGCTGGCCGCCTTCCTCAGCTTGGCCTCGTTGCGCTCCAAGTAGCGCTCCCCCTCTGCCTGCAGGAAGTTCAGCCTCTCCACGCGGCTCTCATTCAGCGGGATGTCCTCGCTCATGTAGGGGTTAAAGCGGAAGTAGGTGTCGGGGGGCAGCAGAGCGTCCAGCATGGTGTGCACCTCTGAAATAAGAACAGAGGGGGACGCCTTTAGCTATCGAAGCCAAACATTAGTTGGTTTATATTTCAAGAGGCTACACTGGAGCAGGAAAAAAGAAATCGCAGTGCGTCACACCGCCTGTGACCGAACTCCTCTTATCTGTGGTTTATGAATAAACGTGTGTGGGATGCAAAATACATTTTGTGCGGTCTTACCCTCGGTATCTGTGGCGCTGCTGATGACGTGGGTGAGCTTGGTCTTGAGGCTCGTGAAGGCTGTGCTGTTCTTGCCCACCGTCTCGAATCGTCCGGTGCCCAGAGACAACACACACTGCAGTGGCGTGTTAGGCCACAGACATTTACACTCATGGATGGCCAAGGCTGTGGGGTTATTGATCAGGAGTCCTCCATCCTAAAGATGAGAAGGAAAATGATGCTTAGTAAGCAAGGTTAATGCACACATAGGACACTTTGTATGTAGACTGTGCCTCTGCTTTTAATATATCTGCTGCGACAGCCTGTAGGGACAAATGAGGTGAAGTGAACAAGCTGTCCCAGAGCGCTACAGCTTTGAGCCGGAGGAAAAGAAGCTCCCTGGCCAGAGATGTGCTGCTCTGGCAAACAGCCCTGCTCATTCAGAAGTAAACAAGTAGGAAAAACTTTCTTCTTAGCAGCTAAAATATGTCTCGTTTTTCCATAAATTGCTCTGAAATTAAGCTAAATAAAGGATCTAACTGCAGCATTACTCTGAATTCTGCTTTGTTGATACAGCATATTGTATTTAAGTATTCTAATCCTGACCGGCTTAATTTAGATCACAAATTATGTGTTTTTTGTCTCCTTGATAATGTTACTGGATGAGTTGAAAGAGTTGCTGATCTCAATGTTGCCAACAATGACAGAAAGAGGACAATCAAGCTGAATGGATGCCGCCACCGATTTAGTGCTGAACGCTCTTTCTCAGTCTTTCCCCGAGTCCATTTTTGGACCATATCCCACCACTGAAGGGCTTTTGGATTGGATTAATGGAGCTGGAGAGTGTGGCACACAAGAGGTCCGAACGTCCCCGGCAGAGCAGGGTGAAAGGTCATTTCCACGCCTCTACAGGGGTGGGCAGTAGAAAAGTATCCAAAAAAAAAAAGAAGCTTAAATCCTCTCCTTCATCTGGGATAAAGCAAACAACAACAACCCAAATAAGAAACATGAGAGATATCTACTGATACATAACCAGCTTTTATGGATTCAACTTTTGCTTTTCAACTAAACTAGGCTTAATACTTTGCTCTAGGACACTTATTTTTAATGGTCCGTCTATGGTGACTCGTCCACTGTGCTGCCCATGTATCATTATGGGACCTTACTGCCTAAAACATGCAATTCTTAGCCTATCAATGAAGCTGTTTGCCCTCAGGTGTGAGCTATTGAAACAGTGGAGCACAGTTCGCACTCATGAGACAGCAGGTTAATTACACAGCTGCTCCTCAGCTCTGACCCTCAACCTCTCACCCTGGGGTGTCACCTTACTGGATGACATTCAGCCCGTATCCAGTTGGACTTACATAAAGTGTGCATGTCTGTTAAGGGAAGACCTGACAGCCTCCGACAGAGATGTCCTTGCGGAGTGGACACGGTTAAATTTTAACTTCAGTCTCCATGAGAGTCTCCTGTCTGTTTGTGTGTGTAGATATGTATTTCTGAAGCTCTGCAATGGCAGAATTCTCCTGAGAAATACCGCTGCTGGCGCTGAAAACTAGAGTAGGAGTGAGACTGGTGGGTGGCAATGGTTGCTCAAAAACTGTCGATGAAACACTGCGCAGCTCCAAGAGGAATGTGGAGAACAACACAGACACAACTCATTCACTCGCCTTCTTTCCGTCCCTGCTGTCATCCCATCCCGGTCCATGGGAAACGGCTCATGACAGATTCTCTCGGCAGACGTGTGAGCGGGAACGGGAAAGTCGTATCCAAACCATATGTATGAATCAACATCACATTATTAAATGCAGTTGAGATCCTCAGCTGATCAAACGTGAACACAAGCTTTCCAGATTACATTTGATTTTACATGTGTTACTTTGCTAAATTAGTAGCTTGGGCCATTTGTTTTTATTCTAAATGCCTAGAAGAATCCAGGCTTACGTCAGTAAACATGCAAAGTGGGACTGGAGATAAGAATCTGTTATTGACTGAAACATTTTAAAGGGCTGTCTACAGGGACAGGGAGAGAAATACTTGTCAGAAGCAGGGACAAGGCTAATTTTGCCTAAGTAGGTTATCAAAATGAAGCTAAGCCTTGAACATAATTGCTGCCCATAAAGACCATCTAAAGATATCTGGCCTAATAATCAAACTTGTGATATGGGTCCCAAGTATTATAAAAGTATAGTGGCAGAAAATAATGAACATTAATGCGACACAAACTGTAACCGTTTATCAGATGCCTTACCAGCCTGTTTTTAATAAGTGACCTCCTACTTAAACCTAATCTGCTGTTCTTGAACCTTGAAAAGGGAAACAGAGCTAGAGCTCCATTACCTAATGCACTGTGTCATTAGTCAGTGTGAGAAAGCAAAGTAGTGATGGACTCATTATGCAGGAAACCACTAAAATGGCATTTTATCACAACAGTGCAGTTATCAGACTCAAAGATCAGCTAACAGTGATGCTGATGTTTTTAACATTGATCCAAACACTATCAGACCATTAATGCAGCTGCAGAGTGTGTTACTTAGACATTTGGAAGCAGCAAACTGTACATTAGCCACCTGAAACTAAGTGTTATACCTTGCATAGAGTCCCCATCTTGTGCTGCTATTGGCTGAGCGCTACACACCACCATCCACAGAGACACCCAGAAATCTGCTTGTTGGTCATATGTTATAATTGAGAGGGATTACTTTTGTATGAGACTACATTTGGGGGGGGGGGTCCTGCACTGTATGTCTTTAAGGGGTACTTACTTTTATTATATGCTTTGTTTTTTGAAACATGCTTTCAGACAGTGTTGGTCCGACACACAGCAGCCCTGTTAGAAATTCTCTTTGAATGGGAATCAGATCAGAAGCTTTCCTTTTTTCTGCTGGACAGCAGGCTAGTCACAAGGGGATGAGGCCCCTTTGATGTTTAGGGGGCACATGCCAGGTCCAAGGACTCTCTCTGTACCTCCATCTCACTCTGTTCACTTTCTCTCTTTCTCAGACTTGACAACCAGAGGAGAGGATGAACCAATTCAGGGACTGCCTTCAAGGTTATGGGTTTGGAGGAGTGAAACAAATCTACACATATACCTTTATGTGTACACGCACACACACAGAGTGCAGTAATGCCCAGTGCTTCTGTCCTTGGCACAGGGTGATGCAGTGCCATAGCATTAAGTGTATTGATTGGTAACATTTCAAGGAAATGACACCCTCATACTAAATAAGGGCTCTCAGAGAAATGCGACTCCTTAGATCACTGCGGCAGTCTGCTGTTAATGCTCATGCATGCTTAAAAAGAAAATCATCTTCAAGGACAATGTCAAAACATCACTGATCATGCTGCTGCATTTTCTGCAACACCTAACGCTATCATCTATTCCTTTTTCAAACCTCAATAGACTCTCAGTGCAGTGGTGTACCTGATGGAGGTCTTTACCCAGGACGTATTCCTGGAAGTATCCCGGGGCGGCAGATGAGGCCCTGATAGCCTGCCACATTTTGTGATTGCAGTCTCCAAGGTAGTGGGATCTCACTCCTGGCATGAGTCTGTAGTTCCTGAACGCATAGGCCTTCAAAGGTAAGCCCCTGTTCACAATGGTGCTCACTGCTGACACCTGGAGGACACACGAAGGGCATGTTTAGAGAGGAACATCTTTATTTTTACAACAAGCTGGTGTTTCTTAAAGTGCTTTACTGTACAACGGACAAAATAAAATGTATTTGTGTCTTTTTGTAGGCTGCATAGAAACAGGAATCCATGCACAAATTAAAACTATGTAGACAAAGACATGAGACTTACCTTAGGGCAATTTGGGTCCCTGGCACTCTCAATCATTCGCCCCTCACCCATCCGTTCCCTAAAAGAAAATACAAAAACACATTACAAAAACAGCTAACTACACATACTATATGTATACTACCCCAGTGTCTTTAAAATCAAGAATGGAAAAAGAAGCTGCAGAAGAGTCCTGCGCACTAACTTGAGGATGTTTTCCCATATTTCGCTGTCGTAGAAACCGTGGCTCCAGCCCATTTTGACCGTTCCAACGATGACATTCTGTTTGAAGACATCTGAGCCCAGCTTCCTGTACATCTCCTCGCACTCCTCTAAGGGGATCTGGAAAATCCCCAGCATGAAGGCCAAAATGGCACCTGAAACAGAGAGGAACAAGTGTGATTTGCCAGTGAGCAAGGGAGTATTGGAAGTTGACATAAATCTCAGTGTTAGAGAAGAGCGACGATGACAACATACCTGTGCTGACTCCACAGATGTAGTCGAACAGCTGGTGGATTCGTTTGCCGGTCAGGTTCTGCAGCTTATGGAGAGTCTGCAGGGCCAGCAGTCCTCTGTAACCAAGGCGCAAGGTTTACAGACTGACAGCCATTATATGACGATTATAAACATATAAAGGTGGTCATAAACAGTTGGCCTGCAATGATAGCTAACCTGTGACCTTGTTTTCTCTGGATTTTCTAGGTTGGCTGAATAATTATGATGATGCCACGGGTACTTTAATTTTTACCTTGTTCCACCTCCGTCTATGGCCAGGACCCGGATCCCTCTGCCTTTGACTGGTTCGGCGTAGCCAACCAGGGCCAGTGCCTCTCTCACAGCAGCCTGTAGAGGGAGGTCTCTGGCCTGGCGCAATCGCAGCAGGCAGGGCAGCACGTGCTCCTAAAGGTCACAGTTACACATACTGAATGGTAAAAATTTACCACTTATTTCCAACATTAAACTGAGCAGTGATACATACTGACCTTGACAGCTACACCTCGCGTCTCTGGGAACTCTAGAAGGTGAAAGCTGAGCTCCTCTACTCGACTAGTGAGGAGCTTGACGTCACTCACTTTGTGCAGGCCTTTCACCAGGGCTCTGGTCCTGTTGTCTACACTCACCCTGGCTATTATCTGCATGACAAATATACAATATGTACAAAACATTAAGGACAATCGGATAAATATATCGCCTCCATTGCCTTAAGGGAAAGGCAATCTGGACCCTGTTTCCCATGTTTTTGTGTCCAAATTACAAATGGGAACAACAATTTTTAAAGTGTGAAGCGGCAAAACCAGCTTCAAAGTAAACACTTGCCATTGTGCAGTGACAGTTTAAGTCCACTACAAGTGCTTGTTTTTGCCACTGACAGGCTCAGATTGTTACTTTCTGTGTCTGATAGCATTACGAAAACGATCCCACAGAGATATTAAATATTTTTCTTCACTTTTCACTTGATCCGGTCTGTTTGTTTGTGTGTAACCAAGTCTCGCTCAAAGAGAAGTCTCACTCTGAATTCTCGCAGACTTTAATTCTAGGGGTTTTACATATTGTTGTCAGACACTTGTGGTAACAATCTTAGCGATCTTGGCAAAAACAAACACTTTTACCAGACTTAACTTGTTTGTTGACATTGTAACCTGTTTTGCTGCTCCGGGCTTCAACCCTTTCTGTCAATACTGCACCACTTTCAAAAACTGTTGCTCCCATCAGTCACTTAGGCACAAAAACACAGGAAAATAACAGGGTGTCGGATAAAAAATACAACAGTTTGTCTTTTAAGTTCTTCTGAAACTTTTTTACTGAACACCGTACCTTCTCTCTTTGCTGTTGCTTCACTTTATCTGCTTTCTCCTCCTCGCTATCAGTTTTCTCTCCCGCCTTGTCCGCGGTGAGCTCTCCCTCGGCAACTGCTGCAGACTTGTCTTTTTCAGCGGCGACGCTTTTGGAATCACCTCTGAATTTGGGGACCAGGGGTGCGATGTAGCTGCCCACAAATGCCTGGACGCTGGGCCGAGGGTAGGAAAGATAGTGGGTGAAGCCTTTTTTAGGGGAGCTAGCAGGCACAGGGGTGGACTGAGCTGCAGGGGTGTCAGATGAGGGCGTCGCTGCTGGAGGACTGAGCTTTTCTGATGGAGATGGGCAGGGAGGGGGAGTAGAGGTAGTGGTTGTGTCAGTGCTCTTTGCCTCTGCCACTGGAGACAAAACTGGAATGTGGTCCGTAGTTGTCCGAGTGACGGCGCTGAGAGTGGGCTCAGAAACAGGATCATCCCCTTTTCCGTGCTGCTGCTGCTTGTTGTCTCCCTCTCCATCTTGCATGCTGGTACCAAAATAACAATTGATGTGCTCAGCCAGAGTTTTGTAGGTCTCATCCATGTTGGTGGACAGAGTTACTGGTTGAAACAGCTGCATACTTTGTTTTGCGACAGTTGAGGAAGAGCTTGACGTAGATACACTCGCTGCCGAAGCTAAACTGGGTGTGGATTTCTTTGTGGCAACGTATGGATGTTCTGTAACTTGCTGCCGCTGCTTATCTGACTCATCCTCCGCTGTGTTCCTCTCGCCCTCTTCTTCTTCGTTCATGATGGCTTCAGGCGGCGAGGCTGCAGCTGTGCTGTTAGAGGTTAAGATCTCAGCTTTGACGAGAACTTTCTCTGCATGGGCGCTGTCAACTGTGGCACCTCCAGGCTTGAAGCGGGAGAACTTGGAGATGAGGTCTGTGCTGCCTACTGCCTTGGTGACACTGTCGAGTGTGGTCCTGATTCGCGACATGCGTTTGCTGGCTCACTCGGTACAGGGAAGAACTTGAAGTCCAACAGGCAACTGAATAATACTTGATGTATGTGTAAACAGATGCAGCATCCTGGCAGACTACCTGCCATCAGCAGATTTTAGTAGAAATTTCATTTTAGATGAAAAATAGCAATTTTCTGCTTGTTCCGATGTTGCCTGGAAAAACAAAACAAAACAAAGATTTAAGAAAAAGTATTATTATTAATTGCAAAAGTTTTTTACTAACGTTTCTTTAAAGAACAAGTTTTAAAAAAGTATCCTGACCTACTGCTGCACAGTGTGGTTCACCAGCTGCACCGCAGAGGACAGGAAGGACCTACAGCGGGTGGTGAGGACCGCAGAAAAGATCATCGGGACCACACTGCCCCCCCCTCAAAGACACTTACACTGGCTGACTTCTCAGGAAGGCCAGAAACATCGGCACAGACCCCACTCACCCCGGACATTCCCTATTCTCCCCCTCCCCTCTGGAAAGAGATACCACTCTCTTAAAGCCAGAACAGCCAGACTCACTAACAGCTTCTTCCCCCAGGCCGTCAAAGCCATCACCCCACCCACCCCACCCAAAGACTGACACTGTGGAACCACACTAAAATACTGAGTGCAATACCTCCAGAATGCTGTTTCATTCTGTATATATGTTATTTATATTGTTCACATTGTTTCTTTTGTATATATCCTGCTTATATTGTTATAATGTTATTTTTATACTGCTACAGTGTTGTTTTTATTTTTACTTTTTTTTTTGTACTACTGCCAAATAGGAGCTGCTAAACAGATTTTCACAGTGATACTGCCTGACAATGTTAACGGTGACAATAAAGTATTCTTATTCAAAGGTGGGCCAACAGAGGGTTCCATTTGCCACCACACCCACCCTGGTAGCCATGGAAACCATTATACCAACAACTCAGCTAACAACTCAGCGAAACCAGTTTCCAGACGTCCTGTTCATTGTAACAAAGACAAGATGGAAGAGGAAAATGCATTAAGTCTGAATATCACGACAGAGTCGGCTCGACTTGTGGATTCGTTGCTGGAGAGACGCCACGGCACTGTAACGACGGAGCAGCAGGAGGAAGACTCCTCTGACAGTGAGATGAAGAATATTAACTGGGTTGCTTGCAAAGACTTCACAGTCGAAGTGGGGGAAAGGCAGATTGGAGAGTACATCCAAACCTGGGAGCTGCAGCCCTGCTGGCTCTACAGTCTGGACTTCCTCTGCTCCACCGAGAAGGACTATCATACCATCTACCACTACCGGGCCCGCTTCAGTATCCCGACCTCCCGGAGGCCCATTCAGGGGACAGCCAGCGTCTATTTCGTGGTGGACATATCTAAAATCAAACCGCAGACTCTGCCAGTGGAGGTGCGCTTTATAGTGGAGTCAAACAGGCTGGTGCACACACCCGGGAGGAGCAGGTTCGGGGAGAAGTGGCTGGTGGACGTTATCGAGAGCAAGACTTTGCTCCGACGAGCGCTGGACCTTTGAACCGATTTCTGGAAGCTTCTAAAAGACTCCCAAAAGTTATACCTAACTTGCTAAGTGTTAACATTAAACCCCACAGAGTGAATTGGAGTGTCTCCTTGTCCTATTAAGTGTCAACCCACGTCGAAATAAAATAAAGTAACCCTAGCTAGCTTAAAAATTCGTATAACAGTAAACGCTGGTTGATTGTAGCTAGCTAATTACCGTTACCGTTACATCTAAAGTGACCGTTTTGAGGGACCTCATAATAAATTCAACTCGTCCTCAAGACAGCGAAGCCACTTGTTTTAGATAATATGCTTAACCCTTAAAAAATAGACACCTCAGGACCATTAAAAGCTAGCTTGTTAGGCTAACAGCTGGCACTATGTGTTACACTGAGAAATGTTAGCTTCTATTAGCCTAACGCAAGCTAACTAATAGAGAATATTTTGTCGCTTTGTCGAATTTAACGCAATGTCACAAAATATACTAACTTATTCTTACCATACACAACGAAGACGGTCCAATACAAAAGATATTTCATTCAATGACGAGCTGCTGGTGCATTACATGTATGGGGAGCTAGTTAGAAAAAATAAACAGGAAGAAGGCAGGAAGTGACGTCAGGGAAGTAGAGCTTCGGGCTATGTAAGGGGCACTGCTTCATTTACGCCACTTGGTGTCGACAAAGCACCTTTAGAATAAAAACAAATGTTCACTTGGTCAGTAAATGTATCAAAATAAAACACTAAGTATTTGTATGAAAAAGTGTATTTAATTGAAACTAAAGTAATTTGTAATTTTATTATACAAAAATACCTTCTAATTACACTGATATTATCACATTTTAGGTATTTAGTAGCCCCAATATGGGTCTTAACCTACTACACTGAAAAGATGAGCTTTGCTAATTTCCTACAAAATAGATATTCTAAGCGGCCAATGGGATATCTCGGAGATGGGAGGCTGCAAATTCAGGGGTATGTGCTCCGCTGTAAACCCCAATCCATCCATGACACAAAATTTGAACGTAAAGTCTATACAAATGCCCAGGATTGTCAAAATGACAAAAAACTTCATGTTCACTTGACACAGAAACTCATCCCTAGTAAGCTTGACATAATTTTCTATGTTAAGTCAACAATTTTTGAGTTTTGAGATAATGTGACTAAAATTTACAAAGCCAGTTTCACCTTATTCATTTATAGCCAGTAAACAACACTATCATTATGCACTTAACATATTGTGGCGTGCTGGGGCTAAATGGATGGAGTATCCCAACATTCCGTGAGACAATATGTTTAAGGCCATGAGCTGAAGAAAACTGTATTCAAATGTGTTCAAAGTCACTCACGTTACCCATTACGCAGTCTTTATGTTCATGTGCATCTAAGAAAATTAGAATATCATGGGAAAGTTCATTTTTTTCCCCATTAATTTGAATCAGAAATTGAAATGTTAATATATTCTAAATTTATTACACATAAAATGAAATATGTCAAGCCTTTTTTGTTTTAATTTTGATGATTATGGCTGACAGCGCTTGAAAATTAAAAATCCAGTGTCTGTGTAATATTAAAATATTACACACGACCAATCAAAAAAGGATTTATTATGTTCATTTATGCACTTAGGGGTTCCTACTGCACGAATTACTGCATCAGTGTGGTGTGACATGAAGGCCATCAGCCTGTGGCGCTGCTTAGGTGTTATGGAAGCCCAGGTTGCTTTGATAGCCGCCTTCAGCTCATCTGTACTGTTGGGTATGGTGTCTCTCACCTTCCTCTTGACAATACGCCATAGATTCTCTGTGAGGTTCAGGTCAGACGAGATGGCTGGCCAATCAAACATAGTAACACCATTGTCAGCAAACCAGTTACAAGTAGTTTTGGCGCTAGTGGCAGGTTCCGTCAGCAGTTGACTTTGGACTTGATAAAACATAGTGGACCAACACTAGCAGATGACATGGCACCCCAAATCATCACTGGATTTCAAGCAATTTGGATTCTGTGCCTCTCCGCTCTTGCACCAGTCTCTGGGATCTTGATTTCTAAATAAAATGCAGAATTTACTTTCATCTGAAAAGAGGACTTTGGACCAACCGGACCACTGCGAACAGCCAGCCCTTTCAGCAATGGCCTTCAGTGGGTTACCCTCTTTGGGTGGGTTAACTGTAACCCAGTAACTGTAATGGGTTACAGTTAATGCTGTGGTAAACTGTGGACTGTGTAGGCATCAGAGTGATACATTAAATTGTGCTGAGTTGAAATAAAGAACACTTCCTGGCTTAAAATCCATCTCTTCACTTGATTTTTATGCTTGAGAAACCTAAGCTCGCTCCATTATTTTTGTGGTTAAATGAAAAAAAAAATGTTGTAAAATGTGTACTCAGTGTTATTACGTTCATATGACAGAATTTAATGCTCAAACAACAACAAAAAAGTTGTTAAACTGATGTAAAAAATTCACATTAATCTTGTGTCAGGTGTACTCAAAATTTTTATGTTACTGTATTGTACTAAATTAAAAGTTTTGAGTACAAGCTGTTTCCAAAAAAAAAAAGTTTTAATACAAATAAAACATTAAATTGAAATACTATATATGAGAGATAATGAAATCTATATTCAGTTAAGTCCTTTCAATATCTAATGCAGCGCACCTTCAACTGGGTCTGTCGAATAACATGTACACACATACACATACACACATCACAGTCACACACAGTCACACAGTCACTCCCTATAATTACTTTGAAGTCAGCGGGTGACATTGTTCTCAACAATTCACATGCTGGGCATCACTTAGCTTTTGTGGGCCACAAAAGCACAGGCACAGGCAAATGGCTGCCCTGGTGGGATAAAGGTTAATACATGCCCGGGTGCCTTTTCTAAACAATCTTGTTCACATAATGAGGAATGAAACACTTGTCCATGTCGAGCAATCACTTGTAAATCTCTTCTTCTAGGCACAGTGGCGGCTTGTAGCTCTTGTCAGTATCACAGGCAATCATTGCCAATGGTATGGAGTAAAAAGGGAAATGTGTATACTCAGATCACTGAGACCAGCTCTCCAAAACCAGTGCAACAAATGATTGATGCTGTATGATGTATCTATTGCATCATACAGGCACAGCATAATGGAATGAACAAATAGAAAGTCAGAATAGCACCATGTCTTACAATTGCATCTGCTTTGGAAGCAGTACCTGCGGCTCTTATGGGTACAATGCAACCTCTTGTTCAGAACAAACAGCTTTTGTTGGCTTGCCATAGGCAGCAGATGGCAAAGGGTATGATAGAGACTGGATAAATGACACTGAAGCGCTGTCGTCTTTTTTCTGCTTCATGCCCACGCCACCTTTTACTGTGCATACATGAACACCCTGTCATGACCTAGAAAGTATGTATAACATTACATTTGTCATGGGTGAAGTCATTGTGAAGACATTATAGTCTCTCCTTTTGTTATCACTGCTGTAAGTCCTTCTTATCTACTGCCTACACATTGTGTGGCAGCTCGCTCCATTATGCTACGCTGGAATGCACAATTTCAAAAACTAAAGGGGAAAGGACTAAAGATGCACTGTGACAGAAAGGTAACATTTTCCATAGGGTGTATGTTTTGGTGCTTTAAAGGAACTTTACACTGATTTTATGCTAAAAGTCTAAAAAAGTTTACTCATCTTGGAGAGTATTGCTCAGCCTCAAAGCCTTTACGTTTCTTTACGTTTCAACAGTGCTGTGATCAACGTGTGGTTATGTTTAGGGCACAAAGAGGGCACAAATGCCGCTGGAAACGAAGTTACAGGTTGCTTAAAAACAACCAGGTGTGAGGAAAAAAGGGCAAATGGAAACGCAGTGACAGGTCACTAAAAACACACACAAACACTGCTGTAAACATAGCAACAGGTTCTCAAAAACACCCTTGTGTGGGGGCAAACACCACTGGAAACTCAGCAATGACTTGCTATAAAAACAAACAAGTTCTTGGGCACAAACATCACTGAAAATGCAGTGACAGGTTGCCAAAAACACCTATGTGTGGGGAAAAAAATGCAACTGGAAATGCAGTAACAGGTCACTAAAAGCACACACAAACACTGCTTGAAATGTAGCAACAGTTTCTTAAAAATTCTCTGGTGTGGAGGCACAAGTAGCAACGCAGCAACAACTTACTAATGTTGTGCACAAACATTGTGACGGGTCTCTAGAAAACACCCAGGTGTAGGGGCACAAATGCCACTGGAAATGTAGTAACAGGTCACTATAAAGCACGCACCCAAATACGACTGTAAATGTGGTGACAGGGTGTTAAAAAACACCCATGTGGGGGCACAAACGCCGCTGGAAATGCAGCAATGACTTGCTTAAAAAAAAACGCTCTGGGGCACAAACAAAGCCTTGAAGTGCAGTGGCTTGTCACAAAAACAAACTCACGTGTGGAGCACATATGCCACTGGAAATGCAGTGACAGGTTGGCAAAAACACCCAGGTGTGGGGAAAAAAAGGCAACATAAACGCCACCAGAAACGCAGCAACTTCTTGGGCACAAACATCACTGGAAGTGCTGCAAGAAGTCTCTAAAAAGCACCCTTGTGTGGGGGCAAACGCCACTGGAAACTCAGCAATGACTTGCTATAAAAACAAACAATTTCTTGGGCACAAACATCACTGAAAATGCAGTGACAGGTTGCCAAAAACACCCACAAACACCACTGGAAACATAGCAACTGCTTCTTAGAAACACCCTTGTGTGGGGGCACAAACCCCTCCAGAAACGCAGCAACAACTTGTAAATTGAAACACACAAGTTCTTGGGCACAAACGTCACTGTAAGTGCCGCAACAAGTCTCTAAAAAACACCCATGTGTGGGGGCACAAACGCCACCAGAAACGCAGCAACAACTTGTAAATTGAAACACACGAGTTCTTGGGCACAAACATCGCTGGAAGTGCCGCAACAAGTCTCTAAGAAGCACCCATGTGTGGGGGCACAAATGCCACTGGAAACGTAGTGACAGGTCACTATAAAACACACGCACAAACGCGACTGGAAATGTAGCGACAGGGTATTCAAAAACACCCATGTATGGGGGCACAAACGCCACTAAAAATGCATTGACAGGTTGCCAAAAACACCCAGGTGTGGGGAAAAAAAAGGCAACTGGAAATGCAGTGACAGGTCACTAAACGCACACACAAGCACTGCTGGGAATGAAACAACTACATGGTGTGTGGGCACAAACGCCACCAGAAACGCAGCAACAACTTGTAAATTGAAACACACTAGTTCTTGGGCACAAACATTGCTGGAAGTGCCGCAACAAGTCTCTAAAAAACACCCATGTGTGGGGGCACAAATGCCACTGGAAACACAGTGACAAGATGCAAAAAAAAAACACTAGTTATTGGGCACAAACATTGCAGAAAGTGCAGTGACAGGTCTCTGAAAAACACCCAGGTGTGGGGCACAAAGCCACTGGAAGCTCCTTGATGTCTCACTAATGAACAAGCGGTGTTGTTGTTAGTTGGTCTCAAACAGTAGTCTGCAGCTTGGCAGCCATCTAGGTGTCAAGCCTCCCATCATCCCCTCCACCTCCTGATGACAA